ACCCTGGGATCATGACCTGAGCCGAAGGCAGACGCTTAACGACTGAGCCACCCAGGCGCCCCTTAAGTAAACCATTTACTGAAAGGAAGTCTTACCAGTGCTCTAGATCAAGGCTTGGCAATCTGTGTGCCACATCCTGCCTGCCTTCTCTGATCACGATTTATTGGAACACAGCAATATTCCTTCCCATCTCTGCCTCCTCCGGCTGCTTTCACGCTAACATAGCGGCATTGCGTAGCCGTGACAGAGACCCCGTCCATGGCCCGTGACACCGAAAATATTGCCTCCCTGTCCCTTAACGGGTAAGTTAGCCAGCCCCTGGTCTAGATGAGCTTTCAGTTTTCTTCTCACAATCCCATTCAGCGTGTTTGGTATCTGATGCCTTTTAAATGAGGCTCTCTAAAAATCTAAGTATTGATTATATATTCCAAGATCCCTTCGTGGATTTTCATTGGATGCTATGTTTGGTTGCTGGGTTGGTTCAGTTAGGTTTGTTTCTAGGTGTAAATCAGGGGCTTTATACAACACCTCTTCTTCTCGATGTCACTAATGTACATCCCTCGTACCCACTTCTCATCCCTGAATTGGGGCTCTTGTTTCCCAGCACCAATCCGTGCAGGGAAGCCCGTCGTTAAACCAGTGACATTCCTGTTAACCTCCGTGCACACAAGAGGTCATTGCTGCCTCTTGTCAAGAATCCTGAGCGGCTCAGTCGGTGAAGCGTCTGCCTTGGCTCAGGTCATGGTCCCAGGGTCCTGGGATCGAATCCCACATCGGGCTCCCTGCTCAGCAGGGAGCCTGCTTCTCCCTCTGCCTGCCTCTTCCCCTGCTTGTGCTCTCTCTCTCCTTCTCTGACAAAATCTTAAAAAAAAAAAAGAATCCTGTTTTCCAAGAGGAGCCAAACCGCTCAGCAGAGAGTGATTCTCTCTGAGAATTTTCCTCTGATACTAGATTTTGTATTGGAAGAATAATGATCCAAAAAAAAAAAGGATCGGAGGCAGAGCTAGGAATAGGAGACTGGCTTCCGCTGCTGGGTTTGCTGGGGCAGCCGTTGTCAGCTTCCCCCGGAGAAAGGTTATCAACGGGTGGAGTCAAAGCCCGATGTCAGGATTCACCGATTGGGTTTTCCAAATGCCCAGTATGGGTCAGCCAGTCAGAAATCAATCAGGCCTCCATGGGGAGACCACATGTCCTCTTTCGGTTCCCTGGGCACATGCACGTGTTGGATGCATACGGTGTTCTGCACAGAGTGCCTGACTCAGCCTCTCCCACGTTCTCTGTTTCTTACTGCTTGCTGATGGGCCTCTGGTCCACAGTGCAGGGAAGGCGGCTTCCCCCAGGACCTCTGGCTGGGCGTCAGTGCGGATGCTGTGTCTGTGTACAAGCGTGGGGAGGGAAGACCGTTGGAAGTCTTCCAATACGAGCACATCCTCTCTTTCGGGGCGCCGCTGGCAAACACGTACAAAATCGTGGTCGACGAGAGGGAGCTGCTCTTTGAAACCAGTGAGGTAAGAAGCCAGCCACGGAAGTCATTTGTGGCCTTGACAAGAGAGAGAAATGCCCCATTTCCTGATGCCTTTGAGTAACTTTGGCTGTTTTGCTTTAAAACATGAAAATACAGCATGGTGGTCGCTTCCCAGCTGTCAGTGCCCCGAGGGCCAAAATCAAATCCTCCCAAATTTCTTCTCTACCTTTGCAGCCGAGAAATTTGGTTCCGTTCTACCAGTGGGTCTTACCCACAGAGGAAAGGAAATGATTTAGATGTCCAAAATATATATAGCGTGGCAAGGAAGCCTTGTGCCAATCAGCAGATGATGACGGCAGAGAATTGCAGCTGGAGGGAGCAAGGGGCATGACCGCCCGGGGCGTAGCGAATTCTGGCTCACAAAGTCACCCAAAAAAAAGCCTCAATGTGTGTGCCCTCTGCTCCAAAGCTTAAAATGTAATCATCATCATGATAAACCAAAAAGCCTAGTGAGGGCTCCACTTAGGGAGCTGCCAGCAAGCAGAGGTAGAAAATGGAAATGAATGACCCACCAGCTTGGCTATTGCTGTAAAGTCCTGGGGAGGCGGCAGTCTCACCGAGGCTGCGATGCGGGAGGCGGACTAGGCTAACGGGAGGGGAGCAGGGACAAGGAAGGGGCTGGGCCTTTGACCGGAGGGTCCCAGGCGCCCGGCTGCCAGGCTTGGCCGACGCTAGTACACAGAGGGAGCCACTGTGGGGGTCTCTGATGGTGCCTGGTGTGATGCCCGTGACTGTGCTAAGTGACGGGGGTGGGACTAAGAGGGAGGAGAGATGAGGGAAACAGAAGGCGGTCAGGATGCCCTAAGAGGGATGCAGGCCAGCATGAGGGGGGCAGCCCCCCGCCCCCAGCCTCGCTCTGTGCTGCAGCTGCATCATGGGGCGGGGACAACACTGAGGAGCCAGTGTTTACCAGCTGTGATCGTGGGCTCGGTCGTTCGCCAGTATTTTAAGCGGGGATAGTAATCCCAGCCCTGGTGACACCAACAGTGTCCTCAGGTGGGGTTTGTTTGTTTTAATGTGTAGAATCTGACAAGTGTACATCAGGCAGAATTGTCGTTTTCGTGTGAAAGAACCACCAGGTGGTGCCCACCGTACTCGGAAAAGCCACGCTTCCCCTGCCCGCTGACTGGGAAGAGGGAAAAGCCGCTGAAGGTTCGGTCCGGGACAGAACCGGAGCCGTGGAGTCGCGCGGCTGGCTTCGGCCCGGCGACCGGCCCTCCCCTCCCTGCGCCCCCGCTGACCGCGCGCCCGTTCTGCTTCCCCCGGGCAGGTGGTGGACGTGGCCAAGCTCATGAAAGCCTACATCAGCATGATCGTGAAGAAACGCTACAGCACGTCGCGCTCCGTGAGCAGCCAGGGCAGCTCCAGGTGAAGGCAGGAGGGAATCCCCGCGTCTCCAGCTTCCCGAGCGGCAGCCCTCTGGCCTGGGCCGGCGCCTGCGCAGAGCCGGGTGAAGCCGCCCCGCCTCCCGGAAGCCCCTCGCCGGAGGGAGGGGCCTCCGAGCGTCCTTCCGCCCTCTCAACTTCCGCGAGCCTGTATTAAGCGGTCAACCTTAACAGCCAGCCCCGTTTGGAAAGCTTTACTACTCTTAGATGTCACATGCCTTAAAAGAGAGAGGACAAACCCCCCTCCGCCTCCCCCCCGCCCCCGCCAAAGCAGCCAGAAGTGCCTTAACGTGTGGACCCAACACTAACTGACCTTAACTGTGCTACTGAAGGGAGATGCCCCCTCCTGCCATCTTGGGGGAGACTTAGAAAGCTTGGACGGGGAGGGGCGTTTATCCATCAATTCTGCACTAACCTCCCAGCCTGATTTCCCTACTTTGAGGGAAGGTGAGGGAGCGGGGAGGGGGGACAGAGGGAGCACAAGGGGACAGGATATTTTAGTCGGAGCGCTGCTGGCAGCCTTCCCTGTGGACGTAGATTAACTTCTGTTTTCTCTTTCACGTCTCTGTGCTTGCCTGTGCATGCATGTGTTCATAAACTCATCACTTTAATCATTGTCTCATGAGCATTAAAAGCAAAGGGAAAAGAGGATGTGCAATGGTGTAAACAGTCTGTCTGTATATTTTAATAGTTCAGAGTTCTAGTCTTCAATCGTTACTTTATAAGGTGGTTTTATTAACAGACCAGAATCTTGGATTTTCCTGTCTTTGCTGTATTTCGAAAACCACGTTTTGACTCCGTTTTGTTTTACGTGTAGCAAAGTCTGCACTCTGTGTCTGCTGTATTATAAACAGATATGCAGCCCATACAGATAATGGTATTTATAAACCACTCTGACTCCAATGCTGTTTTTAGAACTATATGAAGTCATTTTGGAGTCTTTAGTTTCTAAAAAATTTAAGTTAAAAAATTTCTTTGAAGGTGAGTTTGTATCGCTCCAGGTAGATGACCATATGACCACATTGGGTATGGTGGAAAGAAGCTTCATTCCCCAGGGGTATAATGTGCGAGTGAATCTTGAAAGGACCCTGACCATATAAATGCCGAGGCTTTAAGAAAATACATTTTATCCCAAGTTTATAATGATAGTCCAATAAGGTGCCTGTAAATAAATCAGCATTTATGACCAGAAGAAAAATAATCTGGTCCTGGACTTTTATTTTTATATGGAAAAAAGTTGTAAAGACTTAGGCCAACTGAGTCTGCCCACAAAGAAAAAAAAAATTGCCTTATCTTTCCTGGACAGCCCTGCGAAATCCTTGTTTGTTGGCTCAAAGTAAGTCTGACAATAAAAGATATTAGCTATCTTGCAGTGTGTTTTCTTGAGCAGGGGGACCTGAAATACATCATGGGGTTGGGGTTTTTGTTGTTGGTTTGGTTTTAATGCTTTTGGCCTCAGTGTCGAAACTGTGTTTCATAAGTTGATCACTAGGTCTTAAAGTGGACATGTAGACACACAGCACGACTCCAAGGAAGCAGAGAAGATAAAAGAAAGGATTTCATGAAACCCAGAAATCTAAGGCCTTGAAATGTGTGTTTATGTCAAATGGTCTCGGAGCCCCAAAACCTGTCTAATCGTGAAATCATGATTCTACAACCTGCTTGCAGCCATGCTCACTGGGGAGAATACACAGGTAGGCTCTTTGGCCATTGATTTACCCAAAGAACTCAGGACATGGGGTCTGACCTGGGACGTGAGCGGTGCCAGTCCCCCGGATGTCCCTTTCTCTTCCACTGAATCCCACCCTGCCCCCCACCCACCCTGGAAGTAAGTAAAGGCAGGTGCTGCTGAGCACCTGTGGGCTGCAGGTGATGAGAAGGAAGGTGAGCTAGACTCTGTGTTCTACTGCTGTCTTTGTTTTCATTTCTAGCCCAGAGGGAAGTTGGCAGAAGGGCCTCTTCCCTCCATGACTTGTACCCCAAAAGGCTGCCTCTCCCCCAGTTGCATATGAAGAGGTAGGCAAAGTGAGGCAGAGTGCCTCATCTGAGACATCACAGCAGCACCAACACCAGAACCTAGGTCTCTCTGCACTTGGGCCTTTATGTGCCCACGGCTGGGATGTTTTAATGTTTTATTTAGAAATAATATAGGTTCAGAAGAAGTTGCAATAGCATGTACAGGGAGAACCATATACCCTTCACCTGGTTTCCCCTATGGTGACATTTTGCAAAACCACAGAACAGTATCACAATTGTCCATTGTAATTAGGATTTTGCTTCCCCATGTTAGACAAGGACTATAGTCCCCAGTCTACGGCCATACCACCCTGAACGCGCCCGATCTCGTCTGATCTCGGAAGCTAAGCAGGGTCGGGCCTGGTTAGTACTTGGATGGGAGATTGTTGCTTTAAACATTTCTTGTCTGCTATTTTGAATGAGCTCTGGGATTTCCTTCCCTCCCTGCATTTCCTCATCAACACAGACTGGCTCAGCATCACCTCTCACTTCTACTTGATCAATCAGCATATTGACAAAAGTCTCTCCAGGACCGAAACACTGTCTTCCCTTCACATGCCCTCCCCCGCTCCCCCCCCCCCTGCAAATCCAGCCTCATGCGTGCCCAAAGCAGGCAGAGAGGGGACTGGGATGGCTGAGAGGATTCCGGTGGGGGGGGGGGGTAGTGTCTTGAGCTGGTCTTGCAATATGGCAGAGGGGAACAAATTCTTCCTAGGGGAGGGTCCCGGAACTGGCATGAGCACAGGTGTGCAGCAGGTGTTAGGGCAAAGGTCAGAAGCCATGCTATGGCTCCCCTGTCCTAGCCCCATTGGCCTCCATGCTTTACCACCTCTGGCACCCTCCCCTGCACCCCCCACCTGTATATGCTGTTGACAAACCAGATACATGGAGGGATCTTTATAAAATCTAAATCCAACTATATCCCTCTCCTACGAAAAGCTCTCCTATAATTTTATCCAACCAAAATATCACCCTCTACTATAGCGCTGTGTCCTCTGCCCCGCCTGCCTCTAACCTTGTCTCGTGGCTCTTCTCCCCACTCAGCACAGATCTCGGCTTTCGTTTCGTCCCAATTTTATCAGCCCCCAACTTAGGGTGTTCTGCCCAGCAGTGAGCAAAGGGACTCTGATGTTTTCCTGGTGAAACTGAGTGTCTGTACTCAAGAAGACGCGAGCTGTAATTCCCAGGTACCTGGGGCTTCGGCAGAGATGTTCTGGCGAATGTTTATCCGCGGGCTCTCCGGGGTGGGGGTGGGGGGGCAGTCCTGCCGTGTGGGGTTGGCTGATTGTCATGGTGTCCGTATTTCCACCAGGGCTAATTTCGAGCTCCAAGGTGACATCACTGAATGTGGAGTTGGATGGGATGCATAGTTGGCTCCCGAAAGCTTGGTCCTGCACACCACACGGAAAAGACATACCAATAAACAATTTTTCCATAAGAAATTTGTTTCCTATTCATAAGAAAACCTCTAAAGGAAGTAAAAAAGACACTTAGAAAGCTTTAAGCACTTTGTGCAGGGGAAAGTTACTGTGGGAAAAGTACAGACGTTTGCAAAGTATATAATCTGCTCCTATCTTTAGTTTTCCCAGAGATTTCTTTTCCCTTTCAAGTAATAACAGGATTATAGTTGATTAGCAGTTTGAGACATAAACAGGGTCTCCTACCCGAGGCATCCAGACATTTGATTGGTGGGAATTAGTTTCCAGATCAGTGTTCTCATCATTCCCTCATGACCTGCCAGAAAAGAAAATGAGTAATTCTGGTAACTCTGATCTCTTGGGGGAACTGTTCTCCATAAGTTTACTTACTGACTTGACATTGAGGAAATGCAATAGGCCTCTTGATTAGAAAAAAGATAACCCCAATGATCAACATCAACCATAACATAATTTAGTTGACTTTAATTTACTAAATTGTTTGGATTGGAAAAAAAAAAACCACACACTGTCCACACTATCTCAGTGGGGTTTGCAAAGGAAGTAGAAGAATTGTCTTAAGTTGCTTAGAGCCTAGTTAGGGGTAAAAGATAAAAATATATGAAATCAGTTGACTGTAATAGCAACAGTAATTGGGCCATCTGCATATGTGTTGAAGGGGTCCAGAAAACAAGAGTGCAAGGGAGAGTTTTCAAAGGAGAATGTGGTAGCGTTGCTAGAGAGGAGGTGGGTGGGGGGATGGGGTCACTGGGTGACGGGCATTAAGGAGGGCACTTGATACAATGAGCAAGGGGTGTTATAAGTAACTGATGAATCACTGAACTCTACCTCTGAAACTAACAATACACAATGTTAATTGAATTTAAATTAAAAAAAAATGTGGAGCCAAAAAATGAAGATTTCTGATGTGTAATGTGAGCACATGCCAATGGAACAAATTACTGAAGAAAATCCATGAGGCAAAAATGAGCAGAATGGGGAGTACGTTTCTAAGTACGTCCTTCTTATGCTCTCCTTGTGTTTTCCCCTTGACCATCTCTCTCTGATGTGATCAATGGCATTAGTTACCATTTGCTCAGAACATGTTTCAGGCTTGGTGCAAGATGCATCATCCTGTCATTGTGTCCTTCCAGTAGGAGTAGGTGCTAGCAAACCCATTTTTACATTGGGGATATTGAGATTTAGAAAGCAAATTATTTAAGCAATATCTTTGCTGTGCAACAAGTAACTCCAGATTCAGTGGCTAAAACAATAAGCATTTACTTAGGTCACGATTCTATAGGTCATCTGTTGGAGCTGGGCAGTCTCCCTGCTCATCTCATTCATGACTAAGTTCAACGGTATCCAGGTCAACTTTGTTGATCTTGCCTTGGCTTTCTCATCTGTCTGGAGCCTCAGATGAGAAGGCTGAGCTCTGCTCCATGTGATCTCTTGTTCTCCAGTTAGCTAGCCTTGGCTGATTCACGGCATTTGGCAAGGTCTTGCAAAAACTAGTAGGTACAGGCAGGGCCTCTCAAGGCTTAGCTTCAAACTGGCACACTGGTGAGTCCACCATATTTTTTTGGCCAAAGCCAGACCCAATGCCAGACCAGAGCCAAGAGGTGGGGAAACAAACTCCATATCTTGATGGAAGTTGCTGCAAAGTCACTCAAGAGGTTGGAGAACTGTGGCCTTTTTATAATCTAACCACACTTGGCTGAAAAATGACAAAACTACAGTGGACAAAGAATTCATACCAGGTTTGAGTGAAATCGTGCTCTTCTCATAAAGCTATCCTAAAATCCAACCACTTTCTCTATTTTCCTTTACATGGCCACGCCCCTAGCTTACCACCACCCGATCACCAGCTTCCTCTGATTGCACACTTCTAATGTCACCAGACACAGATGCCCACCGTCGTCCCTTTTCCAGGTTTTCCCTCAGAATCTTCTCTTGCCGGAAATGATCTTTCTCCCCGTTCTTATCTCTTCATCCATGACAACCTGGCTTAGATTTTAATTTCTCTGCAAAGCTGCCTGCAGCAGAGACTGCTACCCATCCCCCAGTGATCTGCCATTTTACCATTTGTCCTTTCTTCCCTTTTGCCTTTCATAATAGAATTCCCTTACATTTTAGCTTGCGGTGGATGCTAAGCTACAGAATCCATTCCCCACCTTCCCCTGCCACTTTGTGTGGTGCTTTTAAAAAAAAAGTTACAACTGGGACGCCTGGATGGCCAGTCAGTTAAGCATCTGCCTTCAGCTCAGGTCTTGATCCCAGGATCTTGGGATCGAGCCTCGAGTCAGGCTCCCTGCTTGGTGGGGAGCCTAGCTCTACTTCTCCCGCTCCCCCTGCTTGTGCTCACTCGTGCGCTCTCAAAATCTTTTCAAAAAAAAAGTAACTTCTTGATAACCCTTCCTATAAAAAGGTGAAGTCTCATCCCCATGAATATGGGCCAGCCATCGTGAGTCCACTTCTAATAAATAGAATGTGGTAGAAGTGAAACCACATAGCTTACAAGGCCAGGTCATAAAAGGTGACACATCTTTACTTGCTCTTTCTCTTGGGACACGCACCTTAGGAGCTCTGACCCGACATGACAGAAATCTCATCAACCTGAAGCCGCCATGCTGAAAGAACTAGGTAAGGAGGCCATGCAGAGCTCACCAAGCCCCACAGGTACTGTCCCCCAACTGGTTTGTCTTCTCAACCTCAACACACGGGTGTGTCTTCAGATTACTCCAGCCACTAGCTCTATGCAAAAGACACTCCCTCCCTCTCCAGACCCATCAAAGTCTTATTAAGACATCTTGGGGCCCAGGATCTTGTCATGTAGATCAAGTTCTGGTGTGAATGAGGCTCTTGGGTGTAGTTCCTCAAGTACAGCTCATTAACACTGACTGGAAGATTCGTGTGCCGTGGAGACAAGTTTCCTGTTCTCCAGAAGCTAACTGCTGCAGAGACTGTCGTTCACAAAGGGGAAAATGGGGGGCGGGGGGGCACGGAACAGTCACAAGTCTGTGGCATTTGTGGAAAAAGGAGGATGATGACTCAGGATAACTCCAAGAACCCAGGGGGAAGGATTCCCAGTTAGTGGAACAGAGTCCCAGTCATGGGACTGGCATCATGTACTCAGCTGGATTTCAGAAATGTATGAAGGAGAAAAGTAAATCATTTGGGCCAGGGGACCCATTGGGGTGGCTTTAAACATATCCACAAATTTCTTTGACAATCCTCCCACGAAAAGGTGGAGTCTAATTCTCCTCTCCTCCTCCTAACAGCCAGAGTGTGACAGGAAGGCTACCACCTGAGTCCCAAAGCTAGGTCGTAGAAGGGACACTAGAACATTTGCGAGGCTCTCGGGACATGTGCTGCTGGAGCCCTGGAGCCACCGTGCCGGGGAGACCACGTGGAGAAGCTAGGTAAACAAAGATGCCAGAAGGGTCCCAGCTGTGCCAACCCCCAGCTCTTGAGGTCTTCCCAGCGTCAACCACCAGACATGCAAATGGTGAGCCTGCAAATGAGTCCAGCCCCCAGGCTGCAAGGCGACTCAGCTGATGCCAAAGGAGACAGAGATATGGTGACCCTGCTGAGGAGGCGCCAGCCATGCCAGCGAGCCAAAAAACGAATGGAAAAAGTATGAGGAATGGATGAGATTTAAAACTGTCACTATTGGGGGCGCCTGGGCGGCTCAGTCGCTTAAGCGTCTGCCTTCAGTTCAGGTCATGATCCCAGGGTCCTGGGATGGAGGCCCGCGTCGCATCTGGGTCCCTGCTCAGCAGGGTCTGCTTCTCCTTCTGCCCCTCCCCCCCCACACTTGTGCTCACTCATGCGTGCTCTCTCTAAACTAAATAAAATCTTAAAAAAAAAACTGTCACTATTTACAGCTGATGTGATGAAGCACTCAGTTTAACTGATCATGCTGGATTTTCTATTAGAATTAATGAGTGAATGTGGCAAGATCACTAGATAAAAGGGCAGTATTTTAAAAACCAAATGTATTTCTATATAGCAACAGCAACCAATTATAAATTTTTAAAAATATCTCCTACAATGTTACCAAAAACATTTAATATCTAAGAGAAAATGTAAAGAAATATGTGTCCTCTGATGCCAAAGCTCAGGACATCTCCTTTATGCTACACTCTTGAGTTGACATGTAAATTGATCTGCAAAAGCATTTGAAACGAGGTGAAGCAGAAAGTACTATGATACAAGTCTAACCATTAAAAACAAAAATATGTTGGAGATACAAGGAAATGGGTTTATAACCCAATTTATTTCTCATACAGGTGAGGAAGCTAAAAGACTCATAACTTCTAGTTTCATGGTCCTTTCTCTTAAATGAGGCTGAACTTAAAACACAGAAGAGATCTAAATTCTAAAATAAAATACATCCCTTCACGACAAAGTGAAGGTTCCATGTCTTGGTTAGTAGAGAGCTCCTGCTTGAAATGTTTATTTTGTATTTTAAACCATCTGGCCTAGGGCATCTGGGTGGCTCAGTCATTGGGCGTCTGCCTTCGGCTCAGGTCATGATCCCGGTGTCCTGGGATCGAGCCCCGCGTCGGGCTCCCTCCTCATCGGGGGGCCTGCTTCTCCCTCTCCCACTCCCCCTGCTTGTGTTCCTGCTCTCGCTGTCTGTCAAATAAATAAATAAAATCTTTAAAAAATAAAAAATAAAAAAATAAACCATCTGGCCTTTCTGTTGCTTGGGAGAATCATGAATTTTTTAAAAGTAAATTTCTGCAGTCATTCAACCAGAGCATGCTACCTAGAATCATCCATGTGAGAAGCACATCGAATGCAAATTGATGGCTGCCATTAAGCCCACTTCTCCTTCCCCTGGTTCCGTACACATGACTCTGTCATCCAGGCCTCAGCTTAAGTGTCACCTCTCCAGAAAGGCTTTTCCTCACCACCAAATATAAAATAGCTAGTCTTCACTGCATCACCATGTGGTAAGTAGCACTAAATAGTATTTCTAGTTCAGTTGCTTACTGTACATCTTCCTTAATTAGAAGTTAATCTCGGGGGCTCGATCCCAGGACCCGCCTAGGTGGCTCAGTCGGTTATACATCTGACTCTTGATTTCAGCTCAGGTAATGATCTCAGGGTCATAAGATCGAGCCCCGCATTGGCTCCAGGCTGAGGATGGAGCCGGCTTCGGATTCTCTCTCTCCCTCTGCCCTTCCCCCTGCTCATGTAATACATAACCAAAAAATAAAGTCTAAAAAAAAAAAAAAAGATGGTCTCCGTGAGAACAGCAATCTTTTTGTATTTGTTATTGTCACTCTTAACCAGACCATGTCTGAACATGGTGGATACTTAGTAATTTTTTTTTTTTTTAAGATTTTAGAGAGCATGTGCAAGTGGGGGGAGGGGGTCCTCAAGCAGACTCCCCACTGAGCACAGAGCTCGATGCAGGACTGGATCCCAGGACCCTGAGGTCATGACCCGAGCCGAAACCAAGAGTTGGACGCTTAACTGACTGAGCCACCCAGGCGCCCCTCAGCAATTAATTCTTAAACAAGTGGAAGTGTAAACTGCAACTTTCAATTTGGGGGCCACCCCAGCTGAGAGTCCCCAGGGACAAGAGCCCAGGGCAGAGGTTAACCGCCAGTGCTTTGGGACGTGCAGCACCAGGGCAGAGGGAATAAGGGAATGAGGCAGAGAGGGATGAGAAGCGATGCAAAGTCATGTGTTGTCATGCTGGCCATGGCTTCCCGTGAGCCACCGGGAGACCCCGCAGTTGCTCAGCAGGAATGGAGCCACATGGGATGTCTCTGCACAGGTTGTAGAGGGAAATCCTGCCTCAGAGCAGCCCTTCAAGAGAAGGAAGAGAAGACACTTCCTGGGTTGGTCCTGTCTCCTGTTCCCCACTGGGGGCGTGGGGAGTCAGTCCCCTCCCACTTCCATGTCATCCGGCATCTCTCAAAACCACGTGGACGCCAGACCCCACACTGTGGCAGGCTGAAAGACAGCCACACCCTACCCCCAGGACCTGTGTTACCTTGTATGGCAAAACAAACATTGCAGAGGTGATTACCCTGAGGATTCTGAGATCATCCACGTGCATCCAGTGTAGTCATGTGTCCTTCTAAGACGGAAGCAGGAGACCGGAGTCAGCGGTAGAAGATGTGACAGAAGGCAGAGGTTACAGTGGTGTCGAGAAGCCGCCATAGGCCAAGGCAGGCAGGCCACCTCCAGGAGCCAGGAGACACACCGAATGGGTTCTCCCTTGGAACCTTCCGGAGGAACCAGCCCTGCGGACACCTTGGTCTCAGCCTGTGAGTCTCATTTCAGACTGTTGACCTCCAGAACTATAAGGAAATAAACTCACGTTGTTTTAAACTACGAGTTTGTGGTAACTTGTTACAGCAGCAACAGGAAACAGATACGCACACAAACGGATAAACAAGGGGAGCATTTCCTCTAACTCTGTGGCAGGAGGGTGGAGAGACCCCCCCCAGATAAGCAAGGCCAGAGAACCTGAGGTACATAAGATGTACCCAATACAAGGACCTGTATGACCGCTTATATTAAGAAGCTAAGGACAGAGAAAATGTGTGATGATTGTATTAACATGGTCTTTTATCCTACTTCATTTTCAGTTGTGAATAACTTCCCGCTCTGAAAAATATCCCTGGGCCTCACGGATGACTTCTTTTTAAAAAAGATTTTATTTGAGGGCGCCTGGGTGGCTCAGTTGGTTAAGCAACTGCCTTCGGCTCAGGTCATGATCCTGGAGTCCCGGGATCGAGTCCCGCATCGGGCTCCCTGTTC